ATGTGATGAAAATAATTTAACTAATAAAGTATTTTTTCATCTGTCTGCAAAGCAAAAAGGAGCTATACTTGTGGTTCCAATACGCTTGATGATGGCTGCAATATCAGTGATGATTGCGATATAGTCAGATGTAAAATGAAGTTTGTCGACAAAGCAATGACATACAAGTTGGAGGTATTTGAGTTCATAAATTTTGTAAGTTATTCATCAATTTTGAAAGAAAGTATCGAGAGTGCCCTGGACGACAAAAACGTAACACTGTAATAGTATATTTCAACATTTAAATCAACCCAAAAATGATTGAAATGAAAGCAGAATGCTTATTCTTTCCAGTCTTCCATTGTCACCGAGTTTAATCTGATATCTTATCTTCCCCGCAAGGTCAATAAATGTGATGACCCGGTCAGTGTAACAGCTTCAATAGATGTACCTGATCTGCACATCTCTTGGTCCCATACTTACACCAGTGACGACATAGTTGAAGTCCCAGGATTCAGTTTGTCGGTATCCGGTTTTCCATTGTCTGCCGGTGTTTACGTTCAAGTCTCTCTCACTCCAGACGACGATAGACTGCGTTTAACGGTCAGTGGTATTCTAACTTCGTGTGAGACTCATTCTATGAATACCCGCAAAAGAGTCTAAGTCCTTGAACAAAGCGGGCAGGCAGACCCTGGCAAACTCCCCAGCTGAAAAACACGCGTCCTACCGTGCTTAAATTATTAGGGAGTTCAAGAAACGACGACTGCGACGCCGTGGATAACGTCGGGTAAAAAATGAAATTATATTTTACCTACGAATCCCGTGATACTCCAAAATCATTATGTTGTTTCTCACTGCTAAAACTATCTCGAAACTAAATATGGATCACAGCGTTCAATTAGAAATAGAAATGTAAAAAAATTAGCCGTCGTCGTTCACGTTCTCCAGACCACGCAAAGTTTGGTCATTTGACGTTGTTGTTTTTCAGAGGACGCAAAGAAATGTACAAAGATTTAAAAGCACGCGCGCAGCCATTGTTCTGTTCATTAAAACCTTTTGTTTAGTGACGTTCCCGTTGCCGTTGTCGTTTTCTTAAACTCCTATGTATAACGAGGGCTTACTCGCGGGCTTTATCTAGAGAAACACACCACTAACCTTAGAAAAGTAGCTAAATCTAATTCTTCTAGAAGAACACACTCAGCTATGAATCCTAAGAAGTCCGATAATCACGTGAAGCAGAGAGCAACATGGACTTGTTAATCTTCCTTCAGGTAAAGCTGTTGGCTGGAGGAAAGATCATCGGTAAAGGTGTTTATCCTGTAAAAGCGACATTGATTGAGGGGAGTCTACCAATCAAGAGAGACGGATGTGGTAAATCTTTAATTCTGAATCTTAACACTCATTCGTTAACACTTTCTATGCCGAGCTTATGGTCTCGAATTCCACACATTCTTCTATGTTACCAAAAAAAAAGTGTGTAAATTTCTTCAATGTCTATGGAAAGACAAAGACTCACTGCGTTGCAAATTTTGCAACTCTTGTCTTAAAACTCATCTTATTTTTTAAAAAAATAATGTTCTATTTCAAAATATATATTTAATAAAGTGATAATTAGACTTCGTTTCATGAAATTTTTTTCTGAAATCGCACTTGTGATTTCAGAAAAAAATGATTGATTTCAGACCAAAGTGCCCTCCACTTAGTTCAATTAACATTGTTTGCATTTTGATCTAGGTATCTTTGGTTGGTGGCACAATCTGAGTGACGCCACCAAGGCATCAGTGATCAGTGGCTGGACAATAATCATCATCTTGATCATCTCGAGCTGTTGTTGTTGCTGTTGCTGTAACTGCTGCAACTGTCGTTCATCCAATCAGAATACCGTTATTGTGCAACCTACCCCTGCTGTGGGACCTGTTATCATGGCAACAACTTCGACAACCACCAACGCTAATATTCCGATGCAACCAATGGTTCGCGGATTTTGAATCGATTATTAGATATGCGTTTAAGCGTTTTTTTCGTTTTTTTAGTATAGCAATACCCGCATGGCTGGCACAGCGCGTTGCTTGAATAAATAAGTAATTTTGCTATTTTGTAGGTCAAAAATAACGCAAATAAGTTCCTGAATGTCTCGACGCAATTTGGTTTTCTGCTGTCCGAGTTGTGGTAGTCTAGTTTCCAGTCTTCACTTGTAAATGATTTTTAGGCGCAACCACTGCGCTACAGAAATGTATAATCTTTCAAAACCTGAAAAGTGCTTTTAACCGAACAAAATAAATTTGTTTCTGTTTTAACGAAGATTCAGAGAAGATTATGTTGATCACAATTCATGACAGACATTATCGAGATGTATGTCAAAGGAGCAACTGCCAAAGTAACCTCGTTCCAAGGTTTCTCTCTCGGAGGAAGAGAGAGAATCCTGGTAATGCGGTAGTTGCCATAGCAGAACGTAAGGTTAACGACGTAATTCCGAGAAATTGAAACTTCGCTTCCAGGAACACCGACCAAACAAGCCAAACTGAAGCTCTATGTCTGCTGAATTCTCTCTGTACAAAATGGATGAGCATGGAAACGTTCTTGTCAACATTTTTCTCGTTGTTCTTTTCAGCAAAAGAGTTCCTCAACTGCAGGTAAATATCTCTTGTATTGCATCTCAAGTGCGCTGGACTGTTGTGCGGGAAGTCGAGGGTTCGAGCCCCGGCCGGACCAACACTCAAGGTCTTAAAATTATTGAGAAGAAATTGCTACCTTTCTATAACATCAAGAAATGGTTAGATATTCTAGTCTTCTCGGATAGGGACGAATTAATGGAGGTCCCGTCTCCTGCAGGGTTGGGGGTAGGAGACATTAATTTCCCACGCACGAGGTTACTGTGTGATGGATGTCCTCCCCTGGGTTGGGATGGGTGTGTTTACTGGGCCCGCAGTAATTGGCGCAAGCTGTTGCGGTGTCCCTGCCGGTCGGCGAAGCTAATAAACTCAAGTGACCATATCGTGAGACAAACGATAATATTTTATTTTTATAATTTATTTGTTAGCCAGTTTTTGGCCGCGCTTGCGGCTGAGACGACGAGAAATAATCAATTCTTTGATTAATCTACCAGAAAAGTAACGAACTTACCTTTCATCTGAAATGAGTATTCTATAACTGCCCTGAAACCGTCTGAAAGCGAGATTTACTTTTCACTTTGAATACGCCGCCATAAACATCCACCTTCAAGTATTTTTGAGAACAAAGTAGGCGAGTAAAATAACATTTATTCTCACCCATTAATCTAACCTTGTTTCTATTTTTATGTATTTTCATCGAGCACAATAATTACAGATTTCTATATGCTTCGCAAGCATCCTAAGAATTACGAAGACTTGTCCATCACCCGATTCTCGGAATCGAAGCGATATTCCAGATGTATACGGTGGCCCGGAGGAGTCACGCATGCAAATTACAATATTACTGCAGATTAAAATATAGAATTTTACTTAAAAGTATTTCTGCAAAGTAAAAAATATTACTAGAAATTGAAAAAAAAAAAATTCACGGCATATCACATATGTAAAAACATCACTCGAAACTACGGTGGCAAAGTAAATTCTCCGAATTTATTTTGTTGCATTAAGTTTCGGTCTCCATAAGAGTAACATCGGTTGAAATAAGACAAGCAGAATTAGATTGCTTTCTTTGAAGCGTGTACAGGAAATTTACAAAGGAGAGACGATAGTTATTGCACAATTCCCCGATCTGCCAATTCGGCAGAAGATAAAATACAAATCAGCAGCTCAGCTGTTCAAAACATACCTAACCAGCATTGTCATGAAGTATTTAGTTGGTTCAGTTCGTCAGTTTGTTTGTCAGTTCAGTGTGACTTAGTAAATCGTTCATATTTAGCACGTATTTATTGTATGAATTCAAAGACCGAAGTTATTTATTTATTTCCTTTTATGACTGTGATTCAACTTCCAAGTGAACGTGCTTGGTTTGCACCGACTGCCACACGAAAGTTCTTGTTTTGGGAACGCAGCCGGGAGGTTGATTCGGTCAATCGGTACCATCAACCGCCGCCTGGTTAGCTCAATTGGGAGAGCGCCGGACTGCTGTGCGGGAGGTCGAGAGATCAAAACCGGCCGGACCAACACTCAGGGTCTTAAAATTAACTGAGAAGAATATGCTTCCTTTCTTTAACATCAAGAAATGGTTAGATATTCTAGTCTTCTCGGATAGGG